TGAAATTGACAGTGATACGAAGGAATGTATGGAAATAAACGTCTTGCTGTGTTATCATGGCAAATGTAAAGAATATCAAGATCAACGAAAGTATTTTTCGGATAAGGAATAGTGAAATAGAAGAAACTAGAACAGTGAAAAGAAGAAGGAATAGTGAAATAGTCGCGAGAAGAAACTTTGCAGAATGCAAGCTTTTGCAAAAAGCAATGCTCCAGTAGTAACGTGCTACCGGACCATCCTAAGAGTAACACTGTTGGAACTGTAAAATTTATTAGGAAGTCGAATAGCTTTGGGGTATCAGAGTCGCACGTAAACGCGAAGTCAACAGCTTCCTAGTTAGCTAGCTTATTCCTTAAGCGTGTCCACCCCTTCGGCGCTTTCGAGGCAACGGTACTTGGAAGTATGGAGTTTTCCTCATAGTGAAGGATAGTAATCTTTCTGATATGTTGCCGTATGGCAGGATGCCATAGTTAAACCCAAACTGATAAGTCATGTTAAGAGCCCGCATCCAGAAATGCTTTAGTTGAAAGAGGTTAGTTACAGTACTGTCAAGACAAACAATTTCAGTGTTCATGGAGTTTGGATCATGCTTGTAAAGAACGGTATTTGGTTTATGGACAAAATTGTATTTGTGCTCCTTTGCATGTGTTTGCAGAGTTCGCTTGGTTTGACCTACGTATTGGTACCAAAAACTCTACACGTAATTACATAAATTATGCTACGTCTCTTGCACGAAAGTAAGTCATCGGATTTGCACGGGAGGACGAAGCGCGAGCCTGTGACGGAGAATTGCATCGACCCGTCGGAAAGAATCATACAGCATATGCAGTTGCTACCGCAGAAATGTGCCAAAAGTTCATCAATCAGAAATAAACTTAAAGATTAAAGCTATAAAGTTGGATTTCGACAACATAGTCAAACACCGTGGGCTGGTGCTTCGACGCAAAATAAACGTCCACATCCACCTAGTTCTCATGTACGAACACTTCAAAAATATTTAGACAATTTCGAAAACCAGACAAGCCAGAGAGGTGAAATATTACGATGATGCTTCCTGCCCATGTATGTTTTAAAGATTCTGAATTCATGTGCGCCTAATGCTCGCATACGAACACGTTAGAAACATTGCAGGCACCACACTAACTCGAGGATTAGAACAAAAAGCCGTAATTTTATAGTGTTTGCTGTCAGTGAAAGCGTTAAAAAAGTAATACATAAGACGGTGTGGACCATTTATGTTACAACTGTGAAATAACGGAGATGACGTAGAACATCGTTGGAGTCTTCAGTGTGTAAGGAGTTATTGGC